CCACATAGCATGACGTGAAGGCTTGACCAAACAAAACAAAAAATGAGATACAGATATCTCATAAAAGGTTGATCTCACATATATTTGGAGGTGTAAATCCTTATTATTTTTAATTATTTTAAATTTTCTAACATAATATATGAAATTTTCTAAATTTTTGGGGGTGTGGTCTCCTCTCTCCACACCCCCTAGATCCACCCTTGGGATCTCACCCCTTGTAAGATATTTATATTTCATTATCTGTTTACTTTTTGGAGTAATGTTGCTTTATTCCATTTATAGATTAACAGTTAACCTTTTGTCTCCTACAAGATTGAATAATTTCTCTTAGTTTTTGTGTTCTTGACAATGATATAGCAAGATTGGCCCCTAATAAATATAGCACTAAAGTAGAGAAGATTGAGCTTTAAGCTGTTATTGATTAATTGCTAGTAACAACTCAAACCAGCATACATAATCCATCAATTAATGTAGTTTTAAAATTGGATCAATGGTCGGGATTGAACTTCCAAGAAGTTTCCTAAGATGTTTTGGGCATGGGCAAGTAACATTTTCGTAATGGTGAAGTTGTGGGAGTTGATCTGTGACCTCCTATAATAGGGATTGCTCAATATTTTTAAGGTTTTAGAAGAAATTATAATAGTAATTTTTCCATATTCAAATATTATAACTAGGAATCATGTAGAAATTGTTATCATTAGCCTAAAACCCAAGAGGCATAATTCCGAAGGAAGGCAGTTTAGGATTGATGCTCGGGAAATTGCAATCTAAATTTAAAGTGGTTATAAGGGAATAATTTTGGATTGTGAAACAGAATAAAATCATATCAGTCAAAACCAAAAAACCAAAATATAATATCCAACATTTAAATATTTTTTTAATGAACTCCACAACAAGGTTAAGCAAATTACAATTTTTGACATAATTTGTCAAATAAAAGGGTTAAATTTAGAATTCATACATATTTTTGTTTGGGTAATATTGTAATTTCCATCATAGGCCCCAAGCATATCCACCTTGCAATTATTTTACTTTTATTTGGATTTGGATAGAAAGATAATATTAAAATAAGCTTCAAATTTAAAATTGTAATGGAAAAGGATTTTTTTTTTCTGTGCGCACGCTTTCCCATGGCAACGATTAAAAAAATAAAAAAGGAAAATCAAACCTGGTGGTTGAACAAGGGTTGTGCTTCAAATCTTGTGGGCCAGTTGTAGAAACTTTTAAGGCTCACCAACTCAGAAAGACTAAGAGTCGTTAATTGAGAGAACGCGATGATATCATTACTGGTGGTTCCTTCTTTTTCTTTCTCCGAGACTATCGCTTCCATCCTTGGACAATTATCTACGTTGAAGTTTTTCAGATTTTGCAGTCGTGGGAGTATATTGAACTGGACCACATGTACCAATTTCTCACAATTAGAAACCCTCATATCTTTCAGATGGCAGAAGGACTTTGATTCTTTTTCTGAGGCTATGACTAATTGCTTATCCCATATCTCTATTATGCTAGGCAATTCTTCAATTCCCAAATCCTCTAAGACGGGGAAAGCAACCTGCAAAGTAATTTACAAAACATGTAGTTAGTGACAGTTACAAAATTGTGGATAAGCAACAATTGATAATTGCAACAGTTTCCAAATGCATGCTTTAATCATGTATGAGTGGAAATAAAAAGCCATAGACAAGCAAATTGATAATTGCATATCGCCATATTCTTTTGAAATATTAATTGTATTGCTTAATTATTAACTAAGCACGTTTTTGTCATCAACTTTTCATATTGTTTTCCATCTTTTTCTATTTGCCTTTAATAGTTTGTGTTCCACAATCTTGTCAGTTATTTTTTAGATAAGGTAACTTATGTTGTAGATCTAAGTATTAGACCCATGAAAAAGAAGAAAATTTTATTTTAAATATTCACCAAAGTGCCTTGATCATTTTTTATATTGATAATTTTTTATTTAATTTAACATTCATTTTCCTGGCGTATCTATTTAAGTTACGATGGTAAAGCAAATCAAATTATTTGAACTTGATTTATATTCGGCTCGACAAAAAACAATTCAAGAATGACTTATTATTTAAATAAGTTAAAATTTAACACATTTTGAAATTCACCGATTTTTTGAGTTCAGTTTGAACTCAATTCTATAAACTTAAATGGGCAATACAATACCAAGTAGCTCGAATTCTGCTCAATTAAAACTCGTTTGAGTTTGGCTCAAATGGTAAAGAAGACAAACTAATATATATATTAGTCAAATAAAATCATATTACGATTCATATTCAAAATAAAATATGGTGTATTAGAATTCATACATATTTTTGTTTGGGTAATATTGTAATTTCCATCATAGGCCCCAAGCATATCCACCTTGCAATTATTTTACTTTTATTTGGATTTGGATAGAAAAAGAATATTAAAATAAGCTTCAAATTTAAAATTGTAATGGAAAAGGATTTTTTTTTTTTTTTTGTGCGCACGCTTTCCCAGGGCAAGGGTTAAAAAAATAAAAAGGGAAAATCAAACCTGGTGATTGAACAAGGGTTGTGCATCAGATCTTGTAGGCCAGTTGTAGAAACTTTTAAGTCTCACTAACTTAGAAAGATTAAGAGTTGTTAATTGAGAGAACACAATGATATCATTACTGGTGGTTCCTTCTTCTTTTCCTTTCTGCGAGACTATCGCTTCCATCTTTGGACAATGATCTACGTTGAATGTTTCCAGATTTTGCAGTCGTGAGAGCATATTGAACTGGACCACATGTACCAATTTCTCACAATTAGAAACCCTCATATCTTTCAGATGGCAGAAGGACTTTGATTCTTTTTCTGAGGCTATGACTAATTGCTTATCCCATATCTCTATTATGCTAGGCAATTCTTCAATTCCCAAATCCTCTAAGACGGGGAAAGCAACCTGCAAAGTAATTTACAAAACATGTAGTTAGTGACAGTTACAAAATTGTGGATAAGCAACAATTGATAATTGCAACAGTTTCCAAATGCATGCTTTAATCATGTATGAGGGGAAATCAAAAGCCATAGACAAGCAAATTGATAATTGCATATCGCCATATTCTTTTGAAATATTTATTCTATTGGTTTACTATTAACTAATCACCTTTTTGATATCAGTTCTCCACATTGTTTTCCATCTTTCAACATTATTTTTCTATTTGCCTTTAATAATTTGCGTTCCACAATCTTGTTAGTTATTTTTTAGATAAGGCAAATTATGTTATAGATCTGAGTATTAGACCAATGAAAAAGAAGAAAATTTTATTTTAAAAATTCACCACGG